ACTGCAGGAGCCAGACGGTAGGATGCAGACAGCAGAAGCCAGAAAACACGAGCCACAAAGTAGGAGCCAGAGAGAAGGAGCCAGAAAACAGGAGCCAGACAACAGGAACCAGACAACAGGGGCCAGACAGCAGGAGCCAGAAAGCAGGAGCCAGACAGCAGGAGCTAGAAAGCAGGGGCCAGACAGCAGGAGCTAGAAAGCAGAAGCCAGACAGCAGGAACGACAAAACAGGAGCCAGACAGCAGCAGCCACACAGCAGGAGCCACACAGCAGGAGCCACACAGCAGGAGCCACACAGCAGAACCAGACAGAAGGAGCCAGAAAACAGGAGCCAGACAGCAGGAGCCAGCCACACAGAATGGGCCAGACAGCAGGAACCAGACAACAGGAGCCAGAAAGCAGGAGCCAAACAGCGGGAGTTAGACAAGAGCCAGCTAGCAGGATCAAGAAAACAGGAGCCAGACAGCAGGGGCTAGAAAGCAGGGGCCAGAAAGCATGAGCCATAGAGCAGCCAGAAAACACGAGCGAGACAGCAGAAGCCAGCCACACAGCAGAACCAGACATCAGGAGCAATACAGCTCGAGTCAGAAAGCAAGAGCCAGACAGCAGGAGCCAGAAAGCAGGAGCCTCACAGCAGGAGCCAGAAAGTAGGAGCCAGAAAGTAGGAACCAGAAAGCACAGCCAGAAAGAAGGAGCAAGAAAGCAGGGTCAGATAGCAGGAGCCAGACTGCAGGAGCCAGACAGCAGGAGCCAGACGGTAGGATGCAGACAGCAGAAGCCAGAAAACACGTGCCACAAAGCAGGAGCCAGACAGCAGGAGCCAGCCAGACAGCAGAACCAGACAGCTGGAGCCAGAAAGCAGGAGCCAGACAGCAGGAGCTAGAAAGCAGGGGCCAGACAGCAGGAGCTAGAAAGCAGGGGCCAGAATTCAGGAGCCAGAGAGCAGGAGACAGACAGCGGGATCCAGAAAACACGAGCCAGACAGCAGAAGCATGAAAGCAGGAGCCAGACAGCAGGAGCCAGACAGCAGGAGCCAGAAAGCAGGAGCCAGAAGGCAGGGACCAGACAGCAGGAGCCAGACAGCATGAGACAGAGAGGGGCAGCCAGACAGAATAGCCACACAGCAGGAGCCAGAAAGCAGGAGCCAGACAGCTGGAGCCAGAAAGCAGGAGCCTCACAGCAGGAGGCAGAAAGTAGGAGCCAGAAAGTAGGACCCAGAAAGCAGAGCCAGACAGCAGGAGCAAGAAAGCAGGGTCAGATAGCAGGAGCCAGACTGCAGGAGCCAGACGGTAGGATGCAGACAGCAGAAGCCAGAAAACACGAGCCACAAAGTAGGAGCCAGAGAGAAGGAGCCAGAAAACAGGAGCCAGACAACAGGAACCAGACAACAGGGGCCAGACAGCAGGAGCCAGAAAGCAGGAGCCAGACAGCAGGAGCTAGAAAGCAGGGGCCAGACAGCAGGAGCTAGAAAGCAGGGGCCACAATTCAGGAGCCAGAGAGCAGAAGCATGAAAGCAGGAGCCAGAGAGCAGGAGCCAGACAGCAGGAGCCAGACAGCAGGAGCCAGAAAGCAGGAGCCAGACAGCAGGAGACAGACAGCAGGGGACAGAAAGGAGCAGCCAGACAGAATAGACACACAGCAGAAGTCAGAAAGTAGGAGGCAGACAGCAGGAGCCAGTAAGGAGAGCCAGACAGCAGGAGCTAGAAAGCAGAGGCCAGAAAGCTTGAGCCAGAGAGCATGAGCCAGACAGCGGGAGCCAGACAGCAGGAGCCAGAAAGAAGGAGCCACACAGCAGGAGCCAGAAAGCAGAGCCAGACAGAAGGAGCGAGAAAGTACGAGCCAAACAGGAGCCAGATAGCAGAGCCAGACTGCAAGTGCCAGACAGCAGAAGCCAAACAGCAGGAATTACAAAACAGGAGCCAGACAGCAGGAGCCAGAAAACAGGAGCCAGACAACAGGAACCAGACAACAGGGGCCAGAAACCAGGAGCCAGACAGCGGGAGCTAGACAGGAGCCAGACAGCAGGAGCCAGCCAGACAACAGAAGCAGACAGCAGGAGCTAGACAGCAAAGGCCAGACAACAGAACCAGACAGCAGGAGCCAGAAATCAGGAGCCAGAAAGCAGGAGCCACACAGCAGGAGCTAGAAAGCAGGGGCCAGACAGCAGGAGCTAGAAAGCAGGGGCCAGAATTCAGGAGCCAGAGAGCAGAAGACAGAGAGCAGGAGCCAGAAAACACGAGCCAGACAGCAGGAGCATGAAAGCAGGAGCCAGAGAGCAGGAGCCAGACAGCAGGAGCCAGGAGGCAGGAGACAGACAGCAGGAGACAGACAGCAGGGGACAGGAAGGAGCAGCCAGACAGAATAGCCACACAGCAGAAGCCAGAAAGTATGTGGCAGACAGCAGGAGCCAGAAAGCAGAGCCAGACAGCAGGAGCTAGAAAGCAGAGGCCAGAAAGCATGAGCCAGAGAGCATGAGCCAGACAGCGGGAGCCAGACAGCAGGAGCCAGAAAGCAGGAGCAAGAAGGCAGGGGCCAGACATCAGGAGCCAGACAGCAGGAGACAGAGAGGAGAAGCCAGAGAGAATAGCCACACAGCAGGAGCCAGACAGCAGGAGCCAGAAAGCAGGAGCCAGAAAGCAGGAGCCAGAAAGTAGGAGCCACATAGCAGGAGCCAGAAAGCAGAGCCAGACAGAAGGAGCAAGAAAGCAGGGGCCAGACAGCAGGAGCCAGACAGCAGGAGCCAGAACGTACGAGCCAAACAGGAGCCAGATAGCAGAGCCAGACTGCAGGTGCTAGACAGCAGGAGCCAAACAGCAGGAACTATAAAACAGGAGCCAGACAGCAGGAGCCAGAAAACAGGAGCCAGACAACAGGAACCAGACAACAGGGGCGAGAAACCAGGAGCCAGACAGCGGGAGCTAGACAGGAGCCAGCCAGACAGCAGAACCAGACAGCAGGAGCCAGAAAGCAGCAGACAGACAGCAAAAGCCAGACAGCAGGAGCCTCATAGCAGGAGCCAGAAAGTAGGAGCCAGAAAGTAGGAACCAGAAAGCAGAGCCAGACAGCAGGAGCAAGAAAGCAGGGTCAGATAGCAGGAGCCAGACTGCAGGAGCCAGACGGTAGGATGCAGACAGCAGAAGCCAGAAAACACGAGCCACAAAGTAGGAGCCAGAGAGAAGGAGCCAGAAAACAGGGGCCAGACAACAGGAACCAGACAACAGGGGCCAGACAGCAGGAGCCAGAAAGCAGGAGCCAGACAGCAGGAGCTAGAAAGCAGGGGCCAGACAGCAGGAGCTAGAAAGCAGGGGCCACAATTCAGGAGCCAGAGAGCAGAAGCATGAAAGCAGGAGCCAGAGAGCAGGAGCCAGACAGCAGGAGCCAGACAGCAGGAGCCAGAAAGCAGGAGCCAGACAGCAGGAGACAGACAGCAGGGGACAGAAAGGAGCAGCCAGACAGAATAGACACACAGCAGAAGTCAGAAAGTAGGAGGCAGACAGCAGGAGCCAGTAAGGAGAGCCAGACAGCAGGAGCTAGAAAGCAGAGGCCAGAAAGCTTGAGCCAGAGAGCATGAGCCAGACAGCGGGAGCCAGACAGCAGGAGCCAGAAAGAAGGAGCCACACAGCAGGAGCCAGAAAGCAGAGCCAGACAGAAGGAGCGAGAAAGTACGAGCCAAACAGGAGCCAGATAGCAGAACCAGACTGCAAGTGCCAGACAGCAGAAGCCAAACAGCAGGAATTACAAAACAGGAGCCAGACAGCAGGAGCCAGAAAACAGGAGCCAGACAACAGGAACCAGACAACAGGGGCGAGAAACCAGGAGCCAGACAGCGGGAGCTAGACAGGAGCCAGCCAGACAGCAGAACCAGACAGCAGGAGCCAGAAAGCAGCAGACAGACAGCAAAAGCCAGACAGCAGGAGCCTCATAGCAGGAGCCAGAAAGTAGGAGCCAGAAAGTAGGAACCAGAAAGCAGAGCCAGACAGCAGGAGCAAGAAAGCAGGGTCAGATAGCAGGAGCCAGACTGCAGGAGCCAGACGGTAGGATGCAGACAGCAGAAGCCAGAAAACACGAGCCACAAAGTAGGAGCCAGAGAGAAGGAGCCAGAAAACAGGGGCCAGACAACAGGAACCAGACAACAGGGGCCAGACAGCAGGAGCCAGAAAGCAGGAGCCAGACAGCAGGAGCTAGAAAGCAGGGGCCAGACTGCAGGAGCTAGAAAGCAGGGGCCACAATTCAGGAGCCAGAGAGCAGAAGCATGAAAGCAGGAGCCAGAGAGCAGGAGCCAGACAGCAGGAGCCAGACAGCAGGAGCCAGAAAGCAGGAGCCAGACAGCAGGAGACAGACAGCAGGGGACAGAAAGGAGCAGCCAGACAGAATAGACACACAGCAGAAGTCAGAAAGTAGGAGGCAGACAGCAGGAGCCAGTAAGGAGAGCCAGACAGCAGGAGCTAGAAAGCAGAGGCCAGAAAGCTTGAGCCAGAGAGCATGAGCCAGACAGCGGGAGCCAGACAGCAGGAGCCAGAAAGAAGGAGCCACACAGCAGGAGCCAGAAAGCAGAGCCAGACAGAAGGAGCGAGAAAGTACGAGCCAAACAGGAGCCAGATAGCAGAACCAGACTGCAAGTGCCAGACAGCAGAAGCCAAACAGCAGGAATTACAAAACAGGAGCCAGACAGCAGGAGCCAGAAAACAGGAGCCAGACAACAGGAACCAGACAACAGGGGCCAGAAACCAGGAGCCAGACAGCGGGAGCTAGACAGGAGCCAGAGAGCAGGAGCCAGCCAGACAACAGAAGCAGACAGCAGGAGCTAGACAGCAAAGGCCAGACAACAGAACCAGACAGCAGGAGCCAGAAATCAGGTGCCAGAAAGCAGGAGCCACACAGCAGGAGCTAGAAAGCAGGGGCCAGACAGCAGGAGCTAGAAAGCAGGGGCCAGAATTCAGGAGCCAGAGAGCAGAAGACAGAGAGCGGGAGCCAGAAAACACGAGCCAGACAGCAGGAGCATGAAAGCAGAGGCCAGAAAGCAGGAGCCAGCCAGACAACAGAAGCAGACAGCAGGAGCTAGACAGCAAAGGCCAGACAACAGAACCAGACAGCAGGAGCCAGAAATCAGGAGCCAGAAAGCAGGAGCCACACAGCAGGAGCTAGAAAGCAGGGGCCAGAATTCAGGAGCCAGAGAGCAGAAGACAGAGAGCAGGAGCCAGAAAACACGAGCCAGACAGCAGGAGCATGAAAGCAGGAGCCAGAGAGCAGGAGCCAGACAGCAGAAGCCAGAAAGCAGGAGACAGACAGCAGGAGACAGACAGCAGGGGACAGGAAGGAGCAGCCAGACAGAATAGCCACACAGCAGAACCAGAAAGTAGGTGGCAGACAGCAGGAGCCAGAAAGCAGAGCCAGACAGCAGGAGCTAGAAAGCAGAGGCCAGAAAGCATGAGCCAGAGAGCATGAGCCAGACAGCGGGAGCCAGACAGCAGGAGCCAGAAAGCAGGAGCAAGAAGGCAGGGGCCAGACATCAGGAGCCAGACAGCAGGAGACAGAGAGGAGAAGCCAGAGAGAATAGCCACACAGCAGGAGCCAGACAGCAGGAGCCAGAAAGCAGGAGCCAGAAAGCAGGAGCCAGAAAGCAGGAGCCAGAAAGTAGGAGCCACATAGCAGGAGCCAGAAAGCAGAGCCAGACAGAAGGAGCAACAAAGCAGGGGCCAGACAGCAGGAGCCAGACAGCAGGAGCCAGAACGTACGAGCCAAACAGGAGCCAGATAGCAGAGCCAGACTGCAGGTGCTAGACAGCAGGAGCCAAACAGCAGGAACTATAAAACAGGAGCCAGACAGCAGGAGCCAGAAAACAGGAGCCAGACAACAGGAACCAGACAACAGGGGCGAGAAACCAGGAGCCAGACAGCGGGAGCTAGACAGGAGCCAGCCAGACAGCAGAACCAGACAGCAGGAGCCAGAAAGCAGCAGACAGACAGCAAAAGCCAGACAGCAGGAGCCTCATAGCAGGAGCCAGAAAGTAGGAGCCAGAAAGTAGGAACCAGAAAGCAGAGCCAGACAGCAGGAGCAAGAAAGCAGGGTCAGATAGCAGGAGCCAGACTGCAGGAGCCAGACGGTAGGATGCAGACAGCAGAAGCCAGAAAACACGAGCCACAAAGTAGGAGCCAGAGAGAAGGAGCCAGAAAACAGGGGCCAGACAACAGGAACCAGACAACAGGGGCCAGACAGCAGGAGCCAGAAAGCAGGAGCCAGACAGCAGGAGCTAGAAAGCAGGGGCCAGACAGCAGGAGCTAGAAAGCAGGGGCCACAATTCAGGAGCCAGAGAGCAGAAGCATGAAAGCAGGAGCCAGAGAGCAGGAGCCAGACAGCAGGAGCCAGACAGCAGGAGCCAGAAAGCAGGAGCCAGACAGCAGGAGACAGACAGCAGGGGACAGAAAGGAGCAGCCAGACAGAATAGACACACAGCAGAAGTCAGAAAGTAGGAGGCAGACAGCAGGAGCCAGTAAGGAGAGCCAGACAGCAGGAGCTAGAAAGCAGAGGCCAGAAAGCTTGAGCCAGAGAGCATGAGCCAGACAGCGGGAGCCAGACAGCAGGAGCCAGAAAGAAGGAGCCACACAGCAGGAGCCAGAAAGCAGAGCCAGACAGAAGGAGCGAGAAAGTACGAGCCAAACAGGAGCCAGATAGCAGAACCAGACTGCAAGTGCCAGACAGCAGAAGCCAAACAGCAGGAATTACAAAACAGGAGCCAGACAGCAGGAGCCAGAAAACAGGAGCCAGACAACAGGAACCAGACAACAGGGGCGAGAAACCAGGAGCCAGACAGCGGGAGCTAGACAGGAGCCAGCCAGACAGCAGAACCAGACAGCAGGAGCCAGAAAGCAGCAGACAGACAGCAAAAGCCAGACAGCAGGAGCCTCATAGCAGGAGCCAGAAAGTAGGAGCCAGAAAGTAGGAACCAGAAAGCAGAGCCAGACAGCAGGAGCAAGAAAGCAGGGTCAGATAGCAGGAGCCATACTGCAGGAGCCAGACGGTAGGATGCAGACAGCAGAAGCCAGAAAACACGAGCCACAAAGTAGGAGCCAGAGAGAAGGAGCCAGAAAACAGGGGCCAGACAACAGGAACCAGACAACAGGGGCCAGACAGCAGGAGCCAGAAAGCAGGAGCCAGACAGCAGGAGCTAGAAAGCAGGGGCCAGACAGCAGGAGCTAGAAAGCAGGGGCCACAATTCAGGAGCCAGAGAGCAGAAGCATGAAAGCAGGTGCCAGAGAGCAGGAGCCAGACAGCAGGAGCCAGACAGCAGGAGCCAGAAAGCAGGAGCCAGACAGCAGGAGACAGACAGCAGGGGACAGAAAGGAGCAGCCAGACAGAATAGACACACAGCAGAAGTCAGAAAGTAGGAGGCAGACAGCAGGAGCCAGTAAGGAGAGCCAGACAGCAGGAGGTAGAAAGCAGAGGCCAGAAAGCTTGAGCCAGAGAGCATGAGCCAGACAGCGGGAGCCAGACAGCAGGAGCCAGAAAGAAGGAGCCACACAGCAGGAGCCAGAAAGCAGAGCCAGACAGAAGGAGCGAGAAAGTACGAGCCAAACAGGAGCCAGATAGCAGAACCAGACTGCAAGTGCCAGACAGCAGAAGCCAAACAGCAGGAATTACAAAACAGGAGCCAGACAGCAGGAGCCAGAAAACAGGAGCCAGACAACAGGAACCAGACAACAGGGGCCAGAAACCAGGAGCCAGACAGCGGGAGCTAGACAGGAGCCAGAGAGCAGGAGCCAGCCAGACAACAGAAGCAGACAGCAGGAGCTAGACAGCAAAGGCCAGACAACAGAACCAGACAGCAGGAGCCAGAAATCAGGTGCCAGAAAGCAGGAGCCACACAGCAGGAGCTAGAAAGCAGGGGCCAGACAGCAGGAGCTAGAAAGCAGGGGCCAGAATTCAGGAGCCAGAGAGCAGAAGACAGAGAGCGGGAGCCAGAAAACACGAGCCAGACAGCAGGAGCATGAAAGCAGAGGCCAGAAAGCATGAGCCAGAGAGCATGAGCCAGACAGCAGGAGCCAGACAGCAGGAGCCAGAAAGCAGGAGCAAGAAGGCAGGGGCCAGACATCAGGAGCCAGACAGCAGGACACAGAGAGGAGAAGCCAGAGAGAATAGCCATACAGCAGGAGCCAGACAGCAGGAGCCAGAAAGCAGGAGCCAGAAAGCAGGAGCCAGAAAGTAGGAGCCACATAGCAGGAGCCAGAAAGCAGAGCCAGACAGAAGGAGCAAGAAAGCAGGGGCCAGACAGCAGGAGCCAGACAGCAGGAGCCAGAACGTACGAGCCAAACAGGAGCCAGATAGCAGAGCCAGACTGCAGGTGCTAGACAGCAGGAGCCAAACAGCAGGAACTATAAAACAGGAGCCAGACAGCAGGAGCCAGAAAACAGGAGCCAGACAACAGGAACCAGACAACAGGGGCGAGAAACCAGGAGCCAGACAGCGGGAGCTAGACAGGAGCCAGCCAGACAGCAGAACCAGACAGCAGGAGCCAGAAAGCAGGAGCCAAACAGCAAAAGCCAGACAGCAGGAGCCTCATAGCAGGAGCCAGAAAGTAGGAGCCAGAAAGTAGGAACCAGAAAGCAGAGCCAGACAGCAGGAGCAAGAAAGCAGGGTCAGATAGCAGGAGCCAGACAGCAGGAGCCAGACGGTAGGATGCAGACAGCAGAAGCCCGAAAACACAAGCTACAAAGTAGGAGCCAGTGAGAAGGAGCCAGAAAGGAGCAGCCAGACAGAATAGCCACACAGCAGAAGTCAGAAAGTACGAGCCAAACAGGAGCCAGATAGCAGAGCCAGACAGCAGGTGCCAGACAGCAGGAGCTAGAAAGCAGAGGCCAGAAAGCTTGAGCCAGAGAGCATGAGCCAGACAGCGGGAGCCAGACAGCAGGAGCCAGAAAGAAGGAGCCACACAGCAGGAGCCAGAAAGCAGAGCCAGACAGAAGGAGCAAGAAAGTACGAGCCAAACAGGAGCCAGATAGCAGAGCCAGACAGCAGGTGCCAGACAGCAGGAGCCAAACAGCAGGAATTACAAAACAGGAGCTAGACAGCAGGAGCTAGAAAACAGGAGCCAGACAACAGGAACCAGACAACAGGGGCCAGAAACCAGGAGCCAGACAGCGGGAGCTAGACAGGAGCCAGACAGCAGGAGCCAGCCAGACAACAGAAGCAGACAGCAGGAGCTAGACAGCAAAGGCGAGACAACAGAACCAGACAGCAGGAGCCAGAAATCAGGAGCCAGACAGCAGGAGCTAGAAAGCAGGGGCCAGAAATCAGGAGCCAGACTGCAGGAGCCAGAAAGGAGGAGCCAAACAGGAGCCAGACTGCAGGAGCCAGACAGCAGGAGCCAGCCAGACAACAGAAGCAGACAGCAGGAGCTAGACAGCAAAGGCCAGACAACAGAACCAGACAGCAGGAGCCAGAAATCAGGAGCCAGACAGCAGGAGCTAGAAAGCAGGGGCCAGAAATCAGGAGCCAGACTGCAGGAGCCAGAAAGGAGGGGCCAAACAGGAGCCAGACTGCAGGAGCCAGACATCAGGAGAGAGACGGTAGGATGCAGACAGCAGAAGCCAGAAAACACGAGCCACAAAGCAGGAGCCAGACAGAAGAAGCCAGAAAACACGAGCCAGACAGCAGGAGCCAGCCAGACAGCAGAACCAGACAGCAGGAGCCAGAAAGCAGGAGCGAGACAGCAGGAGCTAGAAAGCAGGGGCCAGACAGCAGGAGCTAGAAAGCAGGGGCCAGAATTCAGGAGCCAGATAGTAGGAGACAGACAGCGGTACCCAGAAAACACGAGCCAGACAGCAGGAGCATGAAAGCAGGAGCCAGAAAGCAGGAGCCAGAAGGCAGGGACCAGACAGAAGGAGCCAGACAGCAGGAGACAGAGAGGTGCAGCCAGACAGAATAGCCACACAGCAGCAGACATACAGCAGGAGCCAGAAAGCAGGAGCATCACAGCAGGAGCCAGACAGTAGGAGCCAGAAAGTAGGAACCAGAAAGCAGAGCCAGATAGAAGGGGCAAGAAAGCAGGGTCAGATAGCAGGAGCCAAACAGCAGGAGCCAGACGGTAGGATGCAGACAGGAGAAGCCAGAAAACACGAGCCACAAAGTAGGAGCCAGACAGAAGGAGCCAGAAAACACGAGCCAGACAGCAGGAGCCAGCCAGACGGCAGAACCAGACAGCAGAACCAGACAGCAGGAGCCAGACAGCAGGAGCTAGAAAGCAGGGGCCAGACAGCAGGAGCTAGAAAGCAGGGACCAGAATTCAGGAACCAGAGAGCAGGAGACAGACAGCAGGAGCCAGAAAACACGAGCCAGGCAGCAGGAGCATGAAAGCAGGAGCCAGAAAGCAGGAGCCAGACAGCAGGAGCCAGAAAGCAGGAGCCAGAAGACAGGGACCAGACAGCAGGAGACAGACAGCATGAGCCACACAGCAGGAGCCAGAAAGCAGGAGCCAGACAGCAGGAGCCAGAAAGCAGGAGCCAGAAAGCAGGAGCCAGACAGCAGGAGCTAGAAAGCAGGGGCCAGACAGCAGGAGCTAGAAAGCAGGGGCCAGAATTCAGGAGCCAGAGAGCAGAAGCATGAAAGCAGGAGCCAGAGAGCAGGAGCAAGACAGCAGGAGCCAGAAAGCAGGAGCCAGAAAGCAGGAGCCAGACAGCAGCAGACAGACAGCAGGGGACAGGAAGGAGCAGCCAGACAGAATAGCCACACAGCAGAAGCCAGAAAGTAGGAGGCAGAAAGCAGGAGCCAGAAAGCAGGAGCCTCACAGCAGGAGCCAGAAAGTAGGAGCCAGAACGTAGGGACCGGAAAGCAGAGCCAGACAGCAGGAGCCAGACGGTAGGATGCAGACAGCAGAAGCCAGAAAACACGAGCCACAAAGTAGGAGCCAGAGAGAAGGAGCCAGAAAACACGAGCCAGACAGCAGGAGCCGGCCAGACAGCAGAACCAGACAGCAGAACCAGACAGCAGGAGCCAGAAAGCAGGAGCCAGACAGCAGGAGCTAGAAAGCAGGGGCCAGACATCAGGAGCTAGAAAGGAGGAGCCAGACAGCAGGAGCCAGACAGCAGGAGCCAGAAAGCAGGAGCAAGAAGGCAGGGGCCAGACATCAGGAGCCAGACAGCAGGAGACAGAGAGGAGCAGCCAGAGAGAATTCAGGAGCCAGAGAGCAGAAGACAGAGAGCGGGAGCCAGAAAACACGAGCCAGACAGCAGGAGCATGAAAGCAGGAGCCAGAGAGCAGGAGCCAGACAGCAGGAGCGAGACGGCAGGAGCCAGAAAGCAGGAGCCAGACAGCAGGAGACAGACAGCAGGGGACAGGAAGGAGCAGCCAGACAGAATAGCACCACAGCAGAAGCCAGAAAGTAGGAGGCAGACAGCAGGAGCCAGAAAGCAGAGCCAGACAGCAGGAGCTAGAAAGCAGAGGCCAGAAAGCATGAGCCAGAGAGCAGGAGCCAGACAGCGGGAGCCAGACAGCAGGAGCCAGAAAACAGGAGCAAGAAGGCAGGGGCCAGACATCAGGAGCCAGACAGCAGGAGACAGAGAGGAGAAGCCAGAGAGAATAGCCACACAGCAGGAGCCAGACAGCAGGAGCCAGAAGGCAGGAGCCAGAAAGCAGGAGCCAGAAAGTAGGAGCTACACAACAGGAGCCAGAAAGGAGAGCCAGACAGAAGGAGCAAGAAAGCAGGGTCAGTTAGCAGGAGCCAGACAGCAGGAGCCAGAACGTACGAGCCAAACAGGAGCCAGATAGCAGAGCCAGACTGCAGGTGCTAGACAGCAGGAGCCAAACAGCAGGAACTATAAAACAGGAGCCAGACAGCAGGAGCCAGAAAACAGGAGCCAGACAACAGGAACCAGACAACAGGGGGCAGAAACCAGGAGCCAGACAGCGGGAGCTAGACAGGAGCCAGACAACAGGAGCCAGCCAGACAGCAGAACCAGACAGCAGGAACTAGACAGCAAAAGCCAGACAACAGAACCAGACAGCAGGAGCCAGAAAGCAGGAGCCAGACAGCAGGAGCTAGAAAGCAGGGGCCAGAAATCAGGAGCCAGACATTAGAAGTCATAACGTAGTAGCCAGTCAACAGAGCCAGACAGCAGGAGCTAGACAACAGGAGCCAGAAAACAGGAGCCAGACATCAGGAGCCAGACAGCAGGAACGACAAAACAGGAGCCAGACAGCAGGAGCCAGCCACACAGAAAAAAAGGAGGCAGACATCAGGATACATACAGCAGGAACCACACAGCAGGAGCCAGACAGCAGGAGCCACACAGCAGAACCAGACAGAAGGAGCCAGAAAACAGGAGCCAGACAGCAGGAGCCAGCCACACAGAATGGGCCAGACAGCAGGAACCAGACAACAGGAGCCAGAAAGCAGGAGCCAAACAGCGGGAGCTAGACAAGAGCCAGCTAGCAGGATCAAGAAAACAGGAGCCAAACAGCAGGAGCTAGAAAGCAGGGGCCAGAAAGCATGAGCAATAGAGCAGGAGCCAGAAAACACGAGCGAGACAGCAGAAGCCAGCCACACAGCAGAACCAGACAGCAGGAGCCATACAGCTAGAGTCAGACAGCAGGAGCTAGACAGCAGGAGCTAGACAGCAGGAGCCAGACAATAGGATGCAGTCAGCAGAACCAGACAGAAGGAGCCAGAAAACAGGAGCCAGACAGCAGGAGCCAGAAAGTAGGAGCTACACAACAGGAGCCAGAAAGGAGAGCCAGACAGAAGGAGCAAGAAAGCAGGGTCAGTTAGCAGGAGCCAGACAGCAGGAGCCAGAACGTACGAGCCAAACAGGAGCCAGATAGCAGAGCCAGACTGCAGGTGCTAGACAGCAGGAGCCAAACAGCAGGAACTATAAAACAGGAGCCAGACAGCAGGAGCCAGAAAACAGGAGCCAGACAACAGGAACCAGACAACAGGGGCGAGAAACCAGGAGCCAGACAGCGGGAGCTAGACAGGGGCCAGACAACAGGAGCCAGCCAGACAGCAGAACCACACAGCAGGAGCTAGACAGCAAAAGCCAGACAACAGAACCAGACAGCAGGAGCCAGAAAGCAGGAGCCAGACAGCAGGAGCTAGAAAGCAGGGGCCAGCAATCAGGAGCCAGACAGCAGGGGACAGGAAGGAGCAGCCAGACAGAATAGCCACACAGCAGAAGCCAGAAAGTAGGAGGAAGACAGCAGGAGCCAGAAAGCAGAGCCAGACAGCAGGAGCTAGAAAGCAGAGGCCAGAAAGCATGAGCCAGAGAGCATGAGCCAGACAGCGGGAGCCAGAGAGCAGGAGCCAGAAAGCAGGAGCAAGAAGGCAGGGGCCAGACATCAGGAGCCAGACAGCAGGAGACAGAGAGGAGCAGCCAGAGAGAATAGCCACACAGCAGGAGCCAGACAGCAGGAGCCAGAAAGCAGGAGCCACACAGCAGGAGCCAGAAAGTAGGAGCCACACAGCAGGAGCCAGAAAGCAGAGCCAGACAGAAGGAGGAAGAAAGCAGGGTCAGATAGCAGGAGCCAGACAGCAGGAGCCAGAACGTACGAGCCAAACAGGAGCCAGATAGCAGAGCCAGACTGCAAGTGCTAGACAGCAAGTGCTAGACAGCAGGAGTCAAACAGCAGGAGCCAAACAGGAGCCAGACATCAGGAGCCAGAAAACAGGAGCCAGACAACAGGAACCAGACAACAGGGGCGAGAAACCAGGAGCCAGACAGCGGGAGCTAGACAGGAGCCAGACAACAGGAGCCAGCCAGACAGCAGAACCAGACAGCAGGAGCTAGACAGCAAAAGCCAGACAACAGAACCAGACAGCAGGAGCCAGAAAGCAGGAGCCAGACAGCAGGAGCTAGAAAGCAGGGGCCAGCAATCAGGAGCCAGACATTAGAAGTCATAACGTAGTAGCCAGTCAACAGAGCCAGACAGCAGGAGCTAGACAACATGAGCCAGAAAACAGGAGCCAGACATCAGGAGCCAGACAGCAGGAACGACAAAACAGGAGCCAGACAGCAGGAGCCAGCCACACAGAAAAAAAGGAGGCAGACATCAGGATACATACAGCAGGAGCCACAGAGCAGGAGCCAGACAGCAGGAGCCAGACAGCAGAACCAGACAGAAGGAGCCAGAAAACAGGAGCCAGACAGCAGGAGCCAGCCACACAGAATGGGCCAGACAGCAGGAACCAGACAACAGGAGCCAGAAAGCAGGAGCCAAACAGCGGGAGCTAGACAACAGCCAGCTAGCAGGATCAAGAAAACAGGAGCCAAACAGCAGGAGCTAGAAAGCAGGGGCCAGAAAGCATGAGCCATAGAGCAGGAGCCAGAAAACACGAGCGAGACAGCAGAAGCCAGCCACACAGCAGAACCAGACAGCAGGAGCCATACAGCTAGAGTCAGACAGCAGGAGCTAGACAGCAGGAGCCAGACAATAGGATGCAGTCAGCAGAACCAGACAGAAGGAGCCAGAAAACAGGAGCCAGAGAGCGGGAGCCAGACAGCAGGAGCCAGAAAGCAGGAGCCAGAAGGCAGGGGCCAGACAGCAGGAGACAGACAGCAGGGGACAGGTAGGAGCAGCCAGACGGAATAGCCACACAGCAGGAGCCAGAAAGCAGGAGCCAGACAGCAGGAGCCAGAAAGCAGGAGCCAGAAAGTAGGAGCCACACAACAGGAGCCAGAAAGGAGAGCCAGACAGAAGGAGCAAGAAAGCAGGGTCAGACAGCAGGAGCCAGACAGCAGGAGCCAGAACGTACGAGCCAAACAGGAGCCAGATAGCAGAGCCAGACTGCAGGTGCTAGACAGCAGGAGCCAAACAGCAGGAACTATAAAACAGGAGCCAGACAGCAGGAGCCAGAAAACAGGAGCCAGACAACAGGAACCAGACAACAGGGGCGAGAAACCAGGAGCCAGACAGCGGGAGCTAGACAGGAGCCAGACAACAGGAGCCAGCCAGACAGCAGAACCACACAGCAGGAGCTAGACAGCAAAAGCCAGACAACAGAACCAGACAGCAGGAGCCAGAAAGCAGGAGCCAGACAGCAGGAGCTAGAAAGCAGGGGCCAGCAATCAGGAGCCAGACATCAGGAGGCAGACAGCAGGGGACAGGAAGGAGCAGCCAGACAGAATAGCCACACAGCAGAAGCCAGAAAGTAGGAGGCAGACAGCAGGAGCCAGAAAGCAGAGCCAGACAGCAGGAGCTAGAAAGCAGAGGCCAGAAAGCATCAGCCAGAGAGCATGAGCCAGACAGCGGGAGCCAGAGAGCAGGAGCCAGAAAGCAGGAGCAAGAAGGCAGGGGCCAGACAGCAGGAGCCAGACAGCAGGAGACAGAGAGGAGCAGCCAGAGAGAATAGCCACACAGCAGGAGGTAGACAGCAGGAGCCAGAAAGCAGGAGCCAGACATCAGGAGCCAGACAGCAGGAACGACAAAACAGGAGCCAGACAGCAGGAGCCAGCCACACAGAAAAAAAGGAGGCAGACATCAGGATACATACAGCAGGAGCCACAGAGCAGGAGCCAGACAGCAGGAGCCAGACAGCAGAACCAGACAGAAGGAGCCAGAAAACAGGAGCCAGACAGCAGGAGCCAGCCACACAGAATGGGCCAGACAGCAGGAACCAGACAACAGGAGCCAGAAAGCAGGAGCCAAACAGCGGGAGCTAGAAAGCAGGGGCCAGAAAGCATGAGCCATAGAGCAGGAGCCAGAAAACACGAGCGAGACAGCAGAAGCCAGCCACACAGCAGAACCAGACAGCAGGAGCCATACAGCTAGAGTCAGACAGCAGGAGCTAGACAGCAGGAGCCAGACAATAGGATGCAGTCAGCAGAACCAGACAGAAGGAGCCAGAAAACAGGAGCCAGACAGCAGGAGCCAGACAGCAGGAGCCAGAAAGCAGGAGCCAGAAGGCAGGGGCCAGACAGCAGGAGACAGACAGCAGGGGACAGGTAGGAGCAGCCAGACAGAATAGCCACACAGCAGGAGCCAGAAAGCAGGAGCCAGAAGGCAGGAGCCAGAAAGCAGGAGCCAGAAAGTAGGAGCCACACAACAGGAGCCAGAAAGGAGAGCCAGACAGAAGGAGCAAGAAAGCAGGGTCAGACAGCAGGAGCCAGACAGCAGGAGCCAGAACGTACGAGCCAAACAGGAGCCAGATAGCAGAGCCAGACTGCAGGTGCTAGACAGCAGGAGCCAAACAGCAGGAACTATAAAACAGGAGCCAGACAGCAGGAGCCAGAAAACAGGAGCCAGACAACAGGAACCAGACAACAGGGGCGAGAAACCAGGAGCCAGACAGCGGGAGCTAGACAGGAGCCAGACAACAGGAGCCAGCCAGACAGCAGAACCAGACAGCAGGAGCTAGACAGCAAAAGCCAGACAACAGAACCAGACAGCAGGAGCCAGAAAGCAGGAGCCAGACAGCAGGAGCTAGAAAGCAGGGGCCAGCAATCAGGAGCCAGACATCAGGAGGCAGACAGCAGGGGACAGGAAGGAGCAGCCAGACAGAATAGCCACACAGCAGAAGCCAGAAAGTAGGAGGCAGACAGCAGGAGCCAGAAAGCAGAGCCAGACAGCAGGAGCTAGAAAGCAGAGGCCAGAAAGCATCAGCCAGAGAGCATGAGCCAGACAGCGGGAGCCAGAGAGCAGGAGCCAGAAAGCAGGAGCTAGAAAGCAGGGGCCAGACATCAGGAGCCAGACAGCAGGAGACAGAGAGGAGCAGCCAGAGAGAATAGCCACACAGCAGGAGCCAGAAAGCAGGAGCCAGAAGGCAGGAGCCAGAAAGTAGGAGCCACACAACAGGAGCCAGAAAGGAGAGCCAGACAGAAGGAGCAAGAAAGCAGGGTCAGTTAGCGGAGCCAGACAGCAGGAGCCAGAACGTTCGAGCCAAACAGGAGCCAGATAGCAGAGCCAGACTGCAGGTGCTAGACAGCAGGAGCCAAACAGCAGGAACCAGACAACAAGGGCGAGAAACCAGGAGCCAGACAGCGGGAGCTAGACAGGAGCCAGACAACAGGAGCCAGTCAGACAGCAGAACCAGACAGCAGGAGCTAGACAGCAAAAGCCAGACAACAGAACCAGACAGCAGTAGCCAGAAAGCAGGAGCCAGACAGCAGGAGCTAGAAAGCAGGGCCCAGCAATCAGGAGCCAGACATCAGGAGGCAGACAGCAGGGGACAGGAAGGAGCAGCCAGACAGAATAGCCACACAGCAGAAGCCAGAAAGTAGGAGGCAGACAGCAGGAGCCAGAAAGCAGGAGCCAGACAGCAGGAGCTAGAAAGCAGAGGCCAGAAAGCATGAGCCAGAGAGCATGAGCCAGACAGCGGGAGCCAGAGAGCAGGAGCCAGAAAGCAGGAGCAAGAAGGCAGGGGCCAGACATCAGGAGCCAGACAGCAGGAGACAGAGAGGAACAGCCAGAGAGAAAAGCCACACAGCAGGAGCCAGACAGCAGGAGCCAGAAAGCAGGAGCCACACAGCAGGAGCCAGAAAGTAGGAGCCACACAGCAGGAGCCAGAAAGCAGAGCCAGACAGAAGGAGCAAGAAAGCAGGGTCAGATAGCAGGAGCCAGACAGCAGGAGCCAGAACGTACGAGCCAAACAGGAGCCAGATAGCAGAGCCAGACTGCAAGTGCTAGACAGCAAGTGCTAGACAGCAGGAGTCAAACAGCAGGAGCAAAACAGGAGCCAGACAGCAGGAGCCAGAAAACAGGAGCCAGACAACAGGAACCAGACAACAGGGGCGAGAAACCAGGAGCCAGACAGCGGGAGCTAGACAGGAGCCAGACAACAGGAGCCAGCCAGACAGCAGAACCAGACAGCAGGAGCTAGACAGCAAAAGCCAGACAACAGAACCAGACAGCAGGAGCCAGAAAGCAGGAGCCAGACAGCAGGAGCTAGAAAGCAGGGGCCAGAAATCAGGAGCCAGACATTAGAAGTCATAACGTAGTAGCCAGTCAACAGAGCCAGACAGCAGGAGCTAGACAACAGGAGCCAGAAAACAGGAGCCAGACATCAGGAGCCAGACAGCAGGAATGACAAAACAGGAGCCAGACAGCAGGAGCCAGCCACACAGAAAAAAAGGAGGCAGACATCAGGATACATACAGCAGGAACCACAGAGCAGGAGCCAGACAGCAGGAGCCAGACAGCAGAACCAGACAGAAGGAGCCAGAAAACAGGAGCCAGACAGCAGGAGCCAGCCACACAGAATGGGCCAGACAGCAGGAACCAGACAATAGGAGCCAGAAAGCAGGAGCCAAACAGCGGGAGCTAGACAACAGCCAGCTAGCAGGATCAAGAAAACAGGAGCCAAACAGCAGGAGCTAGAAAGCTGGGGCCAGAAAGCAGGAGCCATAGAGCAGGAGCCAGAAAACACGAGCGAGACAGCAGAAGCCAGCCACACAGCAGAACCAGACAGCAGGAGCCATACAGCTAGAGTCAGACAGCAGGAGCTAGACAGCAGGAGCCAGACAATAGGATGCAGTCAGCAGAACCAGACAGAAGGAGCCAGAAAACAGGAGCCAGACAGCGGGAGCCAGACAGCAGGAGCCAGAAAGCAGGAGCCAGAAGGCAGGGGCCAGACAGCAGGAGACAGACAGCAGGGGACAGGTAGGAGCAGCCAGACAGAATAGCCACACAGCAGGAGCCAGAAAGCAGGAGCCAGACAGCAGGAGCCAGAAAGCAGGAGCCTCACAGCAGGAGCCAGAAAGTAGGAGCCAGAAAGTAGGAACTAGAAAGCACAGCCAGACAGAAGGAGCAAGAAAGCAGGGTCAGATAGCAGGAGGCAGACAGCAGGGGCCAGAAAGGAGGAGCCAAACAGGAGCATGTCTGCAGGAGCCAGACATCAGGAGCCAGACGGTAGGCTGAAGACAGCAGAAGCCAGAAAACACGAGCCACAAAGTAGGAGCCAGACAGAAGACGCCAGACAGCAGGAGCCAGCCAGACAGCAGAACCAGACAGCAGGAGCCAGAAAGCAAGAGCCAGACAGCAGGAGCTAGAAAGCAGGGGCAAGACAGCAGGAGCTAGAAAGCAGGGGCCAGAATTCAGGAGCCAGAGAGTACGAGCCAAACAGGAGCTAGATAGCAGAGCCAGACTACAGGTGCCAGACAGCAGGAGCCAGAAAATAGGAGCGAGACAACAGGAACCAGACAACAGGGGCCAGAAAACAGGAGCCAGACAGCGGGGGCTAGGCAGGAGCCAGACAGCAGGAGCCAGCGAGACAGCACAACCAGACAGCAGGAGCTAGACAGCAAAAGCCAGACAACAGAACCAGACAGCAGGAGCCAGAAAGCAGGAGCCAGACAGCAGGAGCTAGAAAGCAGGGGCCAGAAATCAGGAGCCAGACAGCAGGAGCTAGAAAGCAGGGGCCAGAAATCAGGAGCCAGACATTAGGAGTCATAACGTAGTAGCCAGACAACAGAGCCAGACAGCAGGAGCCAGACAACAGGAGCCAGAAAAAAGGAGCCAGACATCAGGAGCTATACAGCAGGAGCTAGACAGCAGAAGCCAGACAGCAGGAACGACAAAACAGGAGCCAGACAGCAGGAGCCAGAAAAAAAGGACGCAGACATCAGGAGCCATACAGCAGGAGCCACACAGCAGGAGCCAGACAGCAGGAGCCAGACAACAGAACCAGACAGAAGGAGCCAGAAAACAGGAGCCAGACAGCAGGAGCCAGCCACACAGAATGGGCCAGACAGCAGGAACCAGACAACAGGAGCCAGAAAGCAGGAGCCAAACAGCGGGAGCTAGACAAGAGCCAGCTAGCAGGATCATGAAAACAGGAGCCAGACAGCAGGAGCTAGAAAGCAGGGGCCAGAAAGCATGAGCCATAGAGCAGGAGCCAGAAAACACGAGCGAGACAGCAGAAGCCAGCCACACAGCAGAACCAGACAGCAGGAGCCATACAGCTAGAGTCAGACAGCAGGAGCTAGACAGCAGGAGCCAGACAATAGGATGCAGTCAGCAGAACCAGACAACAGAGCCAGAAAGCAGGGGCCAGAAATCAGGAGCCAGAAAACAGGAGCCAGACATCAGGAGCCATACAGCAGGAGCTAGACAGCAGAAGCCAGACAGCAGGAACGACAAAACAGGAGCCAGACAGCAGCAGCCAGAAAAAAGGACGCAGACATCAGGAGCCATACAGCAGGAGCCACACAGCAGGAGCCAGACAGCAGGAGCCAGACAACAGAACCAGACAGAAGGAGCCAGAAAATGGGAGCCAGACAGCAGGAGCCAGCCACACAGAATGGGCCAGACAGCAGGAACCAGACAACAGGAGCCAGAAAGCAGGAGCCAAACAGCGGGAGCTAGACAAGAGCCAGCTAGCAGGATCATGAAAACAGGAGCCAGACAGCAGGAGCTAGAAAGCAGGGGCCAGAAAGCATGAGCCATAGAGCAGGAGCCAGAAAACACGAGCGAGACAGCAGAAGCCAGCCACACAGCAGAACCAGACAGCAGGAGCCATACAGCTAGAGTCAGACAGCAGGAGCTAGACAGCAGGAGCCAGACAATAGGATGCAGTCAGCAGAACCAGACAACAGAGCCAGAAAGCGGGGGCCAGAAATCAGGAGCCAGAAAACAGGAGCCAGACATCAGGAGCCATACAGCAGGAGCTAGACAGCAGAAGCCAGACAGCAGGAACGACAAAACAGGAGCCAGACAGCAGCAGCCAGAAAAAAAGGACGCAGACATCAGGAGCCATACAGCAGGAGCCATACAGCAGGAGCCAGACGTTAGGAGTCATAACGTAGTAGCCAGACAACAGAGCCAGACAGCAGGAGCCAGACAACAGGAGCCAGACAATAGGATGCAGTTAGCAGAACCAGACAGAAGGAGCCAGAAAACAGGAGCCAGACAGCGGGAGCCAGACAGCAGGAGCCAGAAAGCAGGAGCCAGAAGGCAGGGGCCAGACAGCAGGAGCCACACAGCAGGAGACAGAGAGGAGCAGCCAGACAGAATAGCCACACAGGAGGAGCCAGAAAGCAGGAGCCAGACAGCAGGAGCCAGAAAGCAGGAGCCTCACAGCAGGACCAAGAAATTAGGAGCAAGAAAGTAGGAGCCAGAAAGTAGGTACCAGAAAGCAGAGCCAGACAGAAGGAGCAAGAAAGCAGGGTCAGATAGCAGGAGCCAGACAGCAGGAGCCAGAAAGGAGGAGCCAAAGAGGAGCCAGACTGCAGGAGCCAGACGGTAGGATGCAGACAGCAGAAGCCAGAAAACACGAGCCACAAAGTAGGAGCCAGACAGAAGAAGCCAGAAAACACGAGCAGGACAGCAGGAGCCAGCCAGACAGCAGAACCGGACAGCAGAACCGGACAGCAGGAGCCAGAAAGCAGGAGCCAGACAGCAGGAGCTAGAAAGCAGGGGCCAGACAGCAGGAGCTAGAAAGCAGGGGCCAGAATTCAGGAGCCAGAGAGCAGGAGACAGACAGCGGGAGCCAGAAAACACGAGCCAGACAGCAGGAGCATGAAAGCAGGAGCCAGACAGCAGGAGCCAGAAAGCAGGAGCCAGACAGCAGGAGACAGACAGCAGGGGACAGGTAGGAGCAGCCAGACAGAATAGCCACACAGCAGGAGCCATACAGCAGGAGCCAGACAACAGGAGCCAGAAAACAGGAGCCAGACATCAGGAGCCATACAGCAGGAGCTAGACAGCAGAAGCCAGACAGCAGGAACGACAAAACAGGAGCCAGACAGCAGAAGCCAGAAAAAAAGGACGCAGACATCAGGAGCCATACAGCAGGAGCCAGAGAGCAGGAGCCAGACAGCAGGAGCCAGACAGCAGAACCAGACAGAAGGAGCCAGAAAACAGGAGCCAGACAGCAGGAGCCAGCCACACAGAATGGGCCAGACAGCAGGAACCAGACAACAGGAGCCAGAAAAAAGGAGCCAAACAGAGGGAGCTAGACAAGAGCCAGGTAGCAGGATCAAGAAAACAGGAGCCAAACAGCAGGAGCTAGAAAGCAGGGGCCAGAAAGCATGAGCCATAGAGCAGGAGCCAGATAACACGAGCGAGACAGCAGAAGCCAGCCACACAGCAGAACCAGACAGCAGGAGCCATACAGCTAGAGTCAGACAGCAGGAGCTAGACAACAGGAGCCAGACAATAGGATGCAGTCAGCAGAACCAGACAGAAGGAGCCAGAAAACAGGAGCCAGACAGCGGGAGCCAGACAGCGGGAGCCAGAAAGCAGGAGCCAGAAGGCAGGGGCCAGACAGCAGGAGCCAGACAGCAGAGGACAGAGAGGAGCAGCCAGACAGAATAGCCACACAGCAGGAGCCAGAAAGCAGGAGCCAGACAGCAGGAGCCAGAAAGCAGGAGCCAGCCACACAGAATGGGCCAGACAGCAGGAACCAGACAACAGGAGCCAGAAAGCAGGAGCCAAACAGCGGGAGCTAGACAAGAGCCAGCTAGCAGGATCATGAAAACAGGAGCCAGACAGCAGGAGCTAGAAAGCAGGGGCCAGAAAGCATGAGCCATAGAGCAGGAGCCAGAAAACACGAGCGAGACAGCAGAAGCCAGCCACACAGCAGAACCAGACAGCAGGAGCCATACAGCTAGAGTCAGACAGCAGGAGCTAGACAGCAGGAGCCAGACAATAGGATGCAGTCAGCAGAACCCGACAACAGAGCCAGAAAGCAGGGGCCAGAAATCAGGAGCCAGAAAACAGGAGCCAGACATCAGGAGCCATACAGCAGAAACTAGACAGCAGAAGCCAGACAGCAGGAACGACAAAACAGGAGCCAGACAGCAGGAGCCAGAAAAAAAGGACGCAGACATCAGGAGCCATACAGCAGGAGCCAGAAAGCAGGAGCCAGACGTTAGGAGTCAT